GATTCTTCCTATCCATGGGCATGGGATATTTTTCCATTTGCTTGTGTCTTCTCTGATTTCTCTGAGCAGTGTTTTGTAATTCTCATTGTAGAGAATTACACTGCAGAGGCAGTGGCAGAGAGACTTTCAGTTGCCATGTGGTCTCTGTCCAGGGAGTTGCTGATTTGCTATTGGTTCGATAGCTCTGGTGAGAGGGTGGCTGGAGGACATGTCTGGAGGACATGCCGATGAGGAGATATGGGAATAGGTACCCACATAATGGCCTGGCCACTTTTCTGTAGGGCTGCTGCAATATGTTGGGGGTCCACCCCAGTCCCCAGTTGCCTTGGATTTTCTAATACCTGGAGGTAACAACAGTGAAGTCTACAAAACAGCAAAGATAGTGGCCTGTCCGTCCCTCTGGGAGCTCTGCCCCAGGAAGGTATGGGTCTGTTGCCAGCCCGAAGGCATCTGTAGGAGGTGGCTGGAGACCTCAGTTGGGAGGACCCACCCATGGGAGGGCCCACGCACTAAAGATGAATGGGATTGGCGACCTGCTTAGAAAAGCAGTCTCACCTCATTTTCATAGAGCAGCTGTGCTATGCTCAGGGTCTGCTTCAGCCCCAAAGGTGGTGTTGCAGCTCCTTTTGCTTGGAAGCCCAGAAAGCCTCGGTACAAAGGCTCTCAGGTCTCTGTGGGTGCCTGAGCAACTACTCTGCCAAGATTCCACATAGCTCTGTGTCAGACTGAAGACCCTGGTGGAGTGGGTTCATGAGGTGGTGTCCTGATCCCGAGGGTTGCAGAGATCTGTGGAAGAAGTGTGAGTTCCCAGGGTCCCATATTCACTCACTGCTTCCCTGGGTTGGGGAGGTTCCCTGGCTCTGTGTCACTCCTGAGTGGGCCGTTGTCCTGCCTTGCTTTCTCCGTTTTCCATGGGTGGAGTTGTTTCCTTGATGGTCCCAGTGCACGTACCAGCCGGGTGTGTTTAGTTGAGGTGCTGTGTTTACTCGCCCCTTTGTTCCTCTCCATGAGAGCTGTGCACACGAGCTGCTTCCAGTCACCCATCTTGACCACCCCCACCCACTTTTATTTCTATATTTCATTTCTAGGTAGATACCTGGGAATGGAATTGCTCAGTCATGTGGTACGTGTGTGTTTAGTTTTTAAAAAAACTGCCAGTTGTTTCCAACATAACTGAATTTTTTAGCTGTTCCTTGTTTTTCTGGGTATTCCCTGAGAGGTAGTCTCATGGCTAAAGTATAGAGATGTGATAAATAACAGGAAATGTGGTGGGGTAGGATGTGAAAGAAAAGGGTCTTGAAATCCATGGTTGGAAAGTACCTTGAAAGATCATTTCTGTTTCCAAGAGTCATTGCATGTAAAGCAGGCCATACTTCTAAGACTCTTTCTGGTTTTTTGTTTTTTTTTTTTTGCGGGGGGTGGGGAGGGATGGAGTCTCACTCTGTTGCCAGGCTGGAGAGCAGTAGCACGACCTTGGCTCACATGCAGCCTCCGCCTCCTGGGTTCAAGCAATTTTCATGCCTCAGCCTCCCAAGTAGCTAGGATTATAGGCACATGCCACCACACCCGTCTAATTTTTGTATTTTTAATAGAGACAGGATTTCACCATGTTGGCCAGGCTGGTCTCGATTTCCTGACCTTGTGACCCACCTGCCTTGGCCTTCCAAAGTGCTGGGATTACAGGCATGAGCCACTGGGCCCAGCTGACTCTTTCTGTTTTAAAAGGTGTTTTTGAAGTTGTTATTCTATAGAACTCCTGTAAATCAAATTAAAGAAAGTTTTTTTATTTTTTTAAGTAATGAGCAAACTGTTTATAATAGAATTTCAATTCTGAGACACTTTCTTTTCTACCTCTACAGTTTTACCATCTGTGATATCAAGATGAGTGTTTTGATCGATTGTGTAGCAGTTTGTCACCAGTTTTTTTCCTTGTTCTTCATAAAGTTGATGATGTCTTCTTAGATTTGTTGAAATATGGAAGATATTGGGATAAAGATTATAGTATATATCCCACTTATAAAATATTCTGGCAAGAAATGTTGAATCTGAATCTAGCCAGATCTCTAGAGCCGACTTCGTCTGCAGGAAATGCACAGATAGAGGGTCAAGTTCAGTGATGGCCGGGGAAACAGACAAAGGCAACTATGGTTCTCTTCATAACAGAACTGACCAGAGTTCTGCAGCATGAAAGTGACAGAAAAAGAAATGGGGTAGGAGGGGTCCCACTCTAGAGTCAAGGAGCCTTTAGAATAACCTCGAGTTGTCATGTGCCATACCTGCTAGATGTCATGTGTGAATTTTTTTGGGTCATGATTGAAGCAAATGTCTGCTCCCTGCCCCCTGTGGGGAAAAAAACAACAACAAAAACCAAACAAATAAAAGAAAAGCAAAATCATTTTGGAGACAAACTTGGAGATTTGATTTTGGACCATGAACTTTTGTCTTCCTCTGTGGATTTCCAAATTGCTTTTATTCTCTACCCTCACTGTGCTGATTTTAATTAGGTGCCCAGACTGGGTGTGGTGAGTCACGCCTGTAGTCACAGCACTTTGGGAGGCTGAGGCAGGTGGATCACTTGAGGTCAGGAGTTCAAGACCATCCTGGCCAACATGGTGAAACTGTCTCTACTAAAAATACAAAAATTACCTGGGTGTGGTGGCACATGCCTGTTATCCCAGCTACTCGGGTGGCTGAGGCAGGAGAATCGTTTCAACCAGGGAGCTGGAGGTTGCAGTGAGCTGAGATTGCATCACTACACTCTAGCCTGGGCAACAGAGCACAGCTTTGTCTCAAAAACAAACAAAATATTAGGTACTCTGCCATTGTTCTGAGACTCCCTTTTGCCATCATCTTGGTAATTGCCTTCACCTCTGTTTTGAATTGGCCCCTCTATTTCTAGGATCCCATGTTTTTTCTTTTCTTGTTTTTTTTTTTTTTAATTTTCTTGTTTACTGACACAGATCTTTATGTAACTGTTAACCCAGTGAAACTCCTTGTATGTCTTAACAGCTTGTTCATCCTACCAGTATACTTGATTGATACTTAGCCAAGTATATAGAATTCTAATAAGTGCTCAATACATTTTAAGTACATAAATAAATGCACCTTCCCCCCTTTTAAAAAATATGCATCACATGAGTTAGAGAGTATGTTAAGCATAGACTATTGTTGTATTTTTCCAGATTCCAACATTTCAAGAAAGGGTAGTAATATCTTTTTTAGTATTTTTAAAAAAGTAGTAACATGTCTTCCTGGAGCTAAGATTTTTGTAAGGATTTCACCCTGGCATGAACTCGGAAAAATCAGTGGAAGGAGATTACTCCTTTAGGAAGGAGTTGACTCCTCTCCCACGGTGCCTCTGTGGAGACTGAAATGCTGGGAGCTGTAACCAATGAGCCAATTCACAGATATTTTGGTTTCTAAAATTAGTTACAGTACACTCTTGGAACAGCTTCTGTTATACACTTTTTGTCAGAAGCACAACCAGTGGGCAGATGGTTCTCTGGAAAAAGTAGACACAGAGTGATTTGACTTGGGTGTCATTACAAACTTAGTGTTCTTGGTTTGCCCTTTTGAAAGACTAATGGATTAGTGGACGTTATTTAAGCTACATAATCATGGAGTGACCTTTGCCTAATGGTTTGTTCATCTTTTCGGGGCTCAGTTTCCTTATCTGCAAAGTAGACATGTTTATAGGCATGGTATTTGCCTCAAAATGTTGTTGTGAGGATTAAATAGAGAATCTCTGCAAGATACATGGTAACTGCCCCATGATTTCCCTCCCGCCCCCTATTTTTGTTACTGTCTTTGGGCAAATGAGTGGATGAGAAAGGTTGTGTAAGAATCTGCCCTGCTTTGAGTAGTTTGTGGTCTTTTTGGAGAGTTGCTTCATATGCATATAAAGGAGATAGAAGAAAGTACTATTCAGATTGGGGTTTGGAGAAATTAGGAGGCTGGAGACCTCTTGGATGGGGCTAGCTAGAACTATCTCATAGAAGGATTGGGACCTGGGCTTTGAAAGAGACTAGGGAGAATCTAGGCAACTTGGGCAGGGAAGAGCTGTGAGTCCTGCTGGTGGGCCGGGGCTGCTGGGAGAGAGGAACAGGTAGGTCAGCTTGGAAGCATAGTTGGGAAAACTGTGGAAGTCCATGTGGGAAACTTGGATCTTTATTTATTTCCTTTGTCATGGCTATCTTGGTGCCTGATCTCATGTTTGTGGGATGTATCTGGATGAGAGAGATTGCAAATTTAGAAGTCTGTGGCTGGATATGACCCACAAATATGTTTTGTTTGGTTTCCTCCGTGCTTTGAAATTATTTGGATAAGTTGCCAGGGTTTAAAATCTGGAGCTGTGGCCTTACTGTCCTTTAGTCCCACATGGTATCAAGTGACTGGAGCTTTAAGAGGTGCCCCAAGTTTCCATGGTCCCCTTCCCCCCTCACATGGCTGGCCTCGTTTCTATCTACCTGTCCAAGTTTGCAGCCAGTGGTCTCCTGTCAAACACAGTAGCCGTGAGCCTCCTGTGGTGGTTTAAAGTTAGATTAAGTCAAGTTAAATTACATGAAAAGTCCTGTGTCGCATTTGCACTAGCTACATTTCATTTGCGCAGTCACCATATGTGACTAGTGGCTACTGTATTGGACATCACTGATGTAGACCATTTCTGTCATTGCTGAAAGTTCTATTGGATTAGTTGGATTGGATTGGTCTAGGTCTTCAAACAAAGGTTGCTAACTCTGCCTCTCATTGTATTTTAAACCTCGTCTCCTAGTGTGACTTGACATGTTGCTGCCTCATGTGTAAAAGAAAGTGGTTTGGTAGTATGATGATCCTAAATACCTTTTGAGGGGTAAAATTTTTTATATGGACGATTAACTGGTAATAGCTCGTAACTTTCCAAGTCCCATTAATGTAATATTACTTAACGTATTTTAACAGACATTCACTTGTATGGTTCATAAACTATCTCTGGAGGGCATTCCAGAAGAGGAATTTTAAAAATAGACTGCCCGGTGGCATTGTTATTGGGTTGAGCGCTCAGGCACTTCCTAGGAGACTGCTTTGAAGGATAACAAGTTTGGATGATGACTACTCCCATTGTATGTGTATATACACACAAAGTCATTGACTACCACACCTTTCTTTTCTTTTCTTTTCTTTTTTTTTTTTTTTGGGGGGGGGGG